ACACATCATCTCATCCAGTGGCTGTGGGGAGTTTGACTCCGCAGCCAGAGCTCTGGGCACCAGCGTCCCGGTGTGAGAGCAAAGCGGTTTCCTTGGGCGAGCGCTGTGTGGGGCTGGATGGGGGAAGATGGAAACGTCCCCCCAGCGAGGAGAGCAACACTCCCAGCCCGCGGCAGGAACACAATCCGATCATTTTCCCCTCCCAGCCCTGGCTCTCAGCCTGGATAATGAACGCCGTTTGTGCGCCGCGTTGTGTTGCCCGTGCCTGGCAGATGACAGGCGTGGAGAAAGACGGGGACGTCTTTGTTCCTCACTCACCTTCACGCTCTTGGGATCGAAGGCAGGCTCTCTGGGTGGCTCCGGGGCTGGAGCAGATTTAGCCGCTTCCTTCTTCGAGTGGCATCTCACTGGGTCTTTGGGAAGGTGCAGGGATGAGCTCTGCTGCCCAGCGAAGCAATCGAAACGGAAGGATGAAAGGCAATGTCTGCTCCTTCTCTTATATACGGAGCCCTGTCTCACCCTGGAGGGGCAGGCCAGCTGCAGGAGCAACTGCTACTTACTATAAAAGGAAGAAAACTCAAACGAGAGGGGCCCCAACTTGACAATTGCCCATTGTCATCAGCTCCCGGCATGGCAAAGCCACCAGCCAGCCCCCCTCCAGCCACAAAAGGGGGGACACTCCCCCCCTCCTCCAGCACCTGCACCGGGTGGGCTGCATGGGGGCTGCTTGCTAAATGATCACTGGAAACCTAAACGCGAACGGCCCCGGGTGCCTGGCAAAAAAATAGCAACGTGATGGCTGATAAACCTGCCGCGATACTCACGGGAAATCACGTCTGGTTTTAGGCAGGACTGTAAGGGCGGCTGCTGCAGAGCCCTTTTTAAGACCAGGATTTATGAAATGCTGCTTCAAAGGAGCTCGGTCCTCTCGGAACGATCCCCCACCCTCACGCTCAGGGTCTGGTTTGTCCCAATCTCTTCCCAGGGCTGAGCTGGAGCGCTGGAAATGGCCGCGCTGCAGCGAGAGCTCACCTCTGTCAGGGTGGCTAATGAGGGTAACGCAAACGAGGGCTGAAGCCAGGCGTTTAATTAATCAGCTCAGGATCTTTCACAGCCCTGCATCCACAAAACTTGTGGGGCAGCACGAGCCATAACATCTCCTTTAGGCCCCTCTCCCGGTGCTGGGCAGGCTCTGGTGGGAGATGCTCCTGGTGTCACCCACCTGTGACAACTGCTTGAAGATGGGCAGAAGAGGCAGAAGTTGTTCATTGAGGTTCGGCATCCCAGAAAATGGGGCTCGAGAATTACAGCCAGACATCCTAAAGCATCAGCTTAAATATAGTCAGAGCACAGAAGGAGAAAAACCCATCCCTAGTTTGCACTGGGGTCTGAGAGCTGGTGTTCTGGTAACAGAAATAAATGAACAAAAAGCTATTTACATCAGACGAGAGCATCTTCTCTGCTGTGGAGCTGCCGCACAGCCTCATTTCTCCAGCCAGCGCTTGCTTAAATCAGGCTGCAGGGACGGCTGCGAGGTGGAACAGGATCCTGCGAGATGCTGTTAGTGCTGGTGTGAGAGCTACGAGGTCTTGGTGCTGGCTGAGGCTGAGCCATTACACTTGTACATATGCATAAATACACATCATGTATGCATACATGTAAGTTTTGTTTATATGTAGATCTAGCAAATGCAGTTAGATTTGTGCTTTCAGGTGTTTTGAGTCAGGTTGGCTCAGGCTTGGCATGGCGGGGTCGGTCTAATCCTGCTGTTTCAGAGCTGCTGCAGGGCCAGGAGCGACGGGCACGGGGGTGTCAGCAGCTCAGCCTCTGCTCCGAACCCCCGCGACTCTTCCTCACCAAAGCTCTGCTCAAGCCAAAGGCTGAGCCCAGACAGGTTATGGGGTTGTTCAGGAGGAGGGAGCAGCACAAACTGCTGGGAAATTTGCTGTCTGCCGTCACCTCCCGATTGCCACCGTGGATTTGGGGAGCTGAGGGGGCTGGATGATGGGGCTGGGTGGGTGTCGTTTGCAATGATTGCTCTCCAGATCTCTCTATAATATAGCAAGCGATTTAGCAAAAAACCAAAACAACAGCAAACAAAAACCCCCAAACCAACAGCCCCACATGTTTTGCTAACTGCAAA